AGGGAGGGAGGGAGGGAGGGAGGGAGGGAAGGAAGGAAGGAAGGAAGGAAGGAAGGAAGGAAGGAAGGAAGGAAGGAGGGAAGGAAGCAAACAAGCAAGCATGCGTATGTGGCATTCAACATAAAATCACATACACCCTACAAATCAACTGCCTTTAACTGCCCTCTCCCATTCTCTGCTTCCCCAGAGTTCCAGCTGTTGCTTCTAATCAATACATCTCATTCCCTACAGTAGTTAAAGCTGCCATTTGGAATGCAATGTTGATGAGGGCATACTATTTTATTTCTTTTAATTTTCAAAGCACTCATACTATTTCGTTCTATAAAAGGACAAGGAAGAGAAGCAGTTTAGTGATGCTAAGTCCACACTCATCTGGATCATCTGGAATACAAAAAGCTCTATGTCTCTCTTCCTTTTGTTATAGCATTGCCTCTAATTATGCAATTCCTTCTTTTTTATATCAAGTAGTATTCAGCTTTACAACATATGTCAGTAATGCACAATCCTTCAAATTCTGCCTTCTGATGGAATATAAAATGCTGCAACAGTTCAAGTATTGATACAATGCCAACAGGCATGTTCTCATTTCAAAGTGTAGGCTGCCATCTACTGACTATGATCCTCTCCCACTCCACATTCAGCTCACTTCAGAAAGTGAACTGATCTGGCACAAGAGGTTTTCTTTGCTTCATCATTTAAGGCAGTGTGACTTGATTGTTATAATGAACCATATCAACATAATCCTTTAGTTATTTTAAATACAAATTATCCTAAAAAAAAAAAATGCTAAGCAGACAGTTATGCTTCTGTATAGCTAAAAATTCCTGGTCTATACTCAAAAGGGCATATAATTTTTTTAAGTATGTGACATTTTTAAAATATGCAAGAAAAATGCATTTTAATATCTTTCTCTTCACCCTTTCCTTTATTCTTTACTCCTGAAAGCAGAAGCTCACTTATTCTCATTAGTGTGTATCTGTGATTTAATTTTTCTTCTTGATCAACATCCTCAACCTGAAATTATTAAAATGTAACTTGACTGCCCTAAAAAAAATTGTTAAAATTCACAGCAGCTGTTTACACTAAAGCTAAAAGAGTTACTTAGCCATTAGTTAGCTCAGGCTCCTGCCAAGACAGGAAACATAAATTCGCAGGTGTCCTCTAAGAGCACTGGACTTTTTTTAAGTAAGAGTTAGTTTCTCCCTGTTTTAACCTATTTTTTAAGGAAAATAAAATCAGACCAACCCAAATAATTAATGTTAGGGAGGGAAACCCTCCCTCTCTGCCTCTCAGGGAGCTGAGACAGTAGAGAGCAAAGGGTAAATTCACTGTCTTATGAAAGCAAAGGGTAAATTCACTCAACAGCATGCATTTCATAAATACTGCCTGACACAATATTAGGTCCTAGGAACGCATTCTGTGAAATAGTTTAAAGATCTGCTGCCTTTGACAACTGTCTGGTGTGAAGATAGAGTAGGGAAAAAAATACAGCACGACTTTCAAGACTTAAAAGATGCAGTGTGAATAGCGACAAAGAACTGCCTGGGTGTGCTTGGAGGGTCTGGAAGAATTTCACAGAGGAACTTTCTGAAGGAGAAACTTGAGTCTACCAGGTAATCAGACAGGGGAGAGAGACTCAGATAGCATGTGCAAAGGAAGAAAGATGAAAAAACAACAGAGACTTAAGAGAAAAATCCAGTAACTTAACATTAGTTTTAATAAAAATAAAAATAAGCTCAAGTTCCTGCGTCTGTAGAGTAAAAAATTAAAAATAAATAAAATAGGACTGAGCGCGAGAGGCCAATGGAGTGCGGGAGCTGAAAGAGTCTTCGCAGACAGCCAATTACTTCCAAGATCTCTTTCCTGATGCCCATCTGTGGATCCCAGAGCCTGGCAAGTAGACATAGGACAGTACTGCTTTTAAAGGGACAGTACTGCTTTTTTTTTTT